ATGTATGTATGTATGTATGTATGCATGTATGTATGTATGTATTTATGTATATATATATATATATATATATCTATATATATAAATAAATACATACACACACACATACATATATATATATATTTGCTTTTGCATTGTAAAATTGCTATATCGTCTATAAGTCCATTCAGAACCTTTTTGGTAGAGCCATGGTTAAGTGATACTATGATTTCGATTGTAGGTATACACAACTGATTGTTGTGTTAGTCATATCAATGATTATGTTTTCAACCAGAGGTGTTGTGGTGTTTCATTACTTCGGCGCATGTCTGATGTCTTTGTGCTGTTGCCAGTTATTGGAGATCACCGAGGCGTATGGAATTGTGAAAGTGTGTAGTTAGTCTGTGTACACATGCAGTTGCATTACAAGGCTTGTCTGCAATCCGTTCACTTAGAAAACACCTACCTTCATATATCCCTTGCTCTCTAAGTAGCCTACACCGCCCCAGACAGCAGTCAACGGTAGTCACTGAGACCACCATTATTAACGTTTTGGATTATGTATATATCCTCAAATCGTAAACGTCATACACAGGTTTCCCCAGCAAACTACAGCGCGTTTCAAACGTCTCGCATAGAGGATCCGGGGTTGTTCGTTCCTGCCGTGCACATGACCATTGCTGAGGATAAAAAAGTGGACAGGGAAGCGCTGGCTCAGTATGTTAAAAACGTTAACTGCATCGTCGAGTCTCCAGACAGTGGCCTGGTCATGACCAAGCCGTTAAAGTATGTGCCGTCGCAGCGTTGAGTGTATTAGGGAGCGTATGTGCGTGTGCGTGGGCAGGTCTGTGGGTGCGTGCGGTTGAACGTTTTATGGGCCGAGGTACGGGATAGCCCAGAATGGATACCTTTATGTCTTATGGACGGCTCCTGTAGTACTACGAGCAGTGGGTAGGGGTTCTTTGGTACTCGAACACTTCAGGGAAACAATGCGTATGAAGGCAGCTGTTTCATTGTGCTTGCAATTGCCAGTCTTCTAGACAGCTTGCAAATACGTATATTTAGATGTGTATACACTTACATTTACGTATAT